TCTTTCTAAACAGACATGTCTGGTTGTTCTAGGATGAGCTTGAGAAGGTTAGTGCCAAATGTAACAGCCGTTACGTACACTTGTCTTAACACAGACAATAGGGATGGAATTCACAGAGTAAAGTTATGCCGACCCTTAAATAAATAGTTAAATGAGCAAAATAAATAGTTAAATTAAGGTTTAGGTGGCACGACTAGATTTTCTTTTACACCNAAAAAAGGCATTTGCTGCTTATTTTTTAATTGTTATTAGTTATTATCACGCTTGTTTTGGAGTCAGAAGGTTGTGGGTTTAAGACTCATGTCAGGACTTTTAGTTCGCAGTCTGATACTCAAATGTAATGCTGGCAAGTGTTGTAGTGTCAGAGGCGCCGTCCTTTGGATGATGCATTAAACTAAAATCCTGTCTGCCTGTTCAGGTAGACGTTACAGATCCCATGGCACTCTTTGAAAAAAGAAAGGAGTTTCTCCCAGTGCCGACAATCCTCCAGATAAAATTGGTCATTCAATTTGTGGCTGTTTGTGAACAATCATGTGTGTAAATTGGCTGCGACATTTGCCTACAAAATACATTCACTGCACTTTAAGGTAATTTCTCTGGAATCTCTTTGAGTCATCTGCGTGTATTGATAAGGGGTTATATCTAATACAAGGATTATTTATTGTTAAAATTCAGCCTCTGCAATCCCAACAACATGTTGTGCACACTGAGAGCCAACACAGGCACACAATGGACTGAATGGCTTTCTTCTGTACTGTTCATTTCTATGGTTCAATGATTTGTCTAAGAATACCAACCCAATTATCTTCCCACGGCAAGATTAAGCTGTTTCTTATGTAATAATAAATAATAATAATAATTGTTGCATTTGGTATAGCACTTTTTCACATCATTGAGACTTCTCAAAGCGCTTCACAGAATCTACTGTGAAGTGAATTGACTGTATAATTATGGACAAAACACGACAGACAATTGCCAACAGCAGTGTTCCACAAACAATCGTGGATTGAAGTGACCTATTTATTATTCTTTTTTTCTTGAGGGATTATTATCAGGCATGTGGAGTAAGGAAACTTGCCCAAAGTTTCGCCCTGCCCAGAATTGAACCCAGGTTTCTCCCTTGCGAGGGGAGTGCTCTAACCATTGAGCTACAGGACTCCTGTATATAGTCGGACTCCACTCCTACTATATGAGTCCAATGTTCTGGTCTCTCCCACCCTTCCTGGCAACTCATTCCAACTGTTGATTGCTCTTTGTAAATCTCTGGATGAATGATAAATCTGGGAAGGTTCTTAATGTTTATCATATCATGTTGTACTGTTTCTTGCAACCAAAATATTCACATGAACTAAACAAGAAAATTGGGAGTCCTCCAGCTCAACATCTGACTATCCAGGCATTGACTACTTTGGAAGGATGAGGAAAATATCTCCAGTATTCATGATTCAACTATACCAATACAAACAACGTGTGGATGATGTGCATTTTTGGGCAGTAACTTTGACGTATGCAGGAAGGTGAGCAGCTTGCACAGTGAAGCATCCACTAAGCATATGACTTAATTGTGAGCAACAATGAATACATTTTACTTCAGAAACACTGCAGATAAGCAAAATCAATATAAATGACTACTGTGCTGCCTACAAAATACAGTCACTTCATTTTATAGTATTCCTTGTGAAACCTTTTGAGATATCCTCCTGATGTGAAAGACTGTATATCAAATGTAAGGATTATTATTATCTCCAATACAATCTAGTAACATTTGTTGAAATTAATTAATGATGTGTACAAAATATCTCTAATCAGATTGCAGTGCTGTGTCCACCACACCATTGGTACACAATCACACAGGACCAGTAACCTCAGGGAACCTCAGTTCTGCAATATCTCACAACAGGAATGCAGTGAGATATCGTATTGGTTATTAGTTTATTTATTAGCACTACACAGCGAGGATGAGAATTCAGCAGTAGTGAGCGCAACACTGGTTACATGAGAACTCACAGAATTTACAGGTGAAATGAAAGTCTGTAGTACAGTGGTTACAGTACTCTGATCTCCCTGATTTGGAGTCCCCTGTGAGATCAGTTGCTTCAATTAAAGAACTGGAAAGTTCTTCCCCCAAATAACCCGGTGGATACACCCACACACAATCACTGAGTGTTTAAGAGGGCTGCAGCACAATGGAACCTGTAGACCTTTATACAGACTCCATCTGAACGTTACCTCAGGTTTTGGTTAGACAGATGTAGCACTGGGTGATTTAATAGGAAGATGAAAAAGAATGTGTTCATATTAGGGATTCATAAGACTGCTTCATAAAACTGAATGGGGCTTAGAGGAATCTCATTGGATGCTGATATTTAATATTTAGTGGCTGGCTGCTGGGTGAATTTTGCTTTTGTATGTACATAAAACAGTAGGTGTAAAGGTCAGTTCTGTAGTAGACTTTCTACAGTTTGGGATGGAAACAGGTGCTGAACTGTTTGTTCTTGTAAAGGATGTTGTCTTTATAGTTAGGCTATATTTCGAAGGACAAAAGAAATTGTAGATTTACTGGATGTGGAGAATATCATAGGATCAGAGAGGGAGACAGGATGGAATGGGTGGGATGGGCGGATGGTTTGGTGGGTGGGTTTGGTGGGTGGGTGGATGGATGGAACATGCAATACAATTTACATGTATCTAACACCTTTCATGTCAGGGGGACAATTCAAAGTGCTTAACATAGTTTGCTGGATACCCATAGATGGGGATGGAATCTGAAGGAGGGAACGTAGATAGAACATAGGGGAAAGGGAGCGATAGGGGAAAACCTTTGTGAGACAATAGAATAGAAAAATTTGCAAAATTTAGCATGATAAAATAGACAATAACGACAAGAGTACAGATGGTGCTGGTAAGTCAAGCTCCCTTTATCATACCAGGTACAAGACTCCTCATGAGACTTTTTCAGCTCTAAGGTGAAGCACAGGAGGTTCTAGATGGAGTATAAATTATAAAATCTAAATTTAAAAAAAGTAAAATAGGTGCAATTCTCTACTGCAGATTCATCTTAAGTGGAGAATCTATCTATCTATGGCTGTGACCCATTACATTCATTTCAACAACAACAGCAAAATTACATTTATAGAGCGCCTTTCACGTCGGGAGGACGTCCCAAAGCGCTGATTGGCTTGCGCCAGCGCCTCCGCACCTCAGGCACTTGGCAGCATTACACTGGCAGGGTAACCTATTAATGTCTACCCCAGCAATGGTAACATTATTTGCACTGTCTGCTTATCCGCAAAGGGGGAATTACATTGGATAATCATCTCTCTACAGTAGAACTGCCTATAAACTGTAGCTTCTCATTATATAAAATATAATGCACTACAGGATATTTCAAGAATTAGGCATATTTAAAATGATCAGTTTTTTTAGTTAGACTGATAAAAGTGGAGGACACGTGTTTAACATTAAAAGCCCCATCTAGGGCAAGATTACAGAAAATAATTGCCCCTTGAACTATGGTTATGTTGAACAGACTCTCAACAAAAGCAGTCGATTACTGTGCTGATTATTTCCTTCAAAAAAGAAATGAATAATTATTTGCTGGAGAATAGTATAGGAGGGTGTAGGACTAAGTAATTTAGAATGGCTGTAGGGATCTAACACATACTGATCATTAAAATAGGGATTTTTTCTCTAACTCTTTAAAATGGGGTTTTAGTGGGAACATTTTTGTTTGGGATCTATACCTTTTATGTGCATTTTCAGTACAGATATATGATATTTGTATTTCGTCGTGTTCTGTATTTGATATAGCGCCTTTTCACGTCTTTAAGATGTTGCAAAGTGCTTCACAAAATATACTCTAAAGCGGATTGACTGCGGTGGAGTCCTGTAACATACTGGTTAGAGAACTTGCCTCGCAAGTGAGAGGACCGGGATTCGATTCCCAGGGATGACAAAACCTTAGGTAACTTTCCTGACTCCCTACGCCTCTGTTCATCTCGCAGTAAGTAGGAACCCAGCCGTAAGTTAATGGGTGGGTCGCTTTCTGGGCTGAATAATCCCTTCAACTAACAATAAGAAGAACTTTGGTCACTCAATCCGCAATTGTCGGTGGCGGCACCGCTGTGAGCAATCGGCGGCTCACAAAATACACTTTACAATATATTCCGCGAAGCGCTTCGAAACTGTCTGAAGCAGGTGGTGAGGCGCTGTGCCAAATGCAAGGATTTGTGGTGGTGATGATGGTGATGGTGTGGGTGTGAGTGCAGGGAGTTCTCCAATGAGGATAAGGCAGGCGGTGTGTGGGGGCCATGAGTACTGAGCTGCGGGCGGGACAGCACAGGGCAGGACAGCACAGGGTGAGCTGAGTTTGCAGTCAGGAGCTCTCGGCAGTGCAGTGGAGAGACAGACAGACACAGCAAAGAGCTCAGTGAGACCCCCACACACATACCCACACAACACCTACACACACCCACACACACACACCCCACACACACCCGCCCCCCCCCCCACACACACACACACCTCACACACATACACCCCACACCCCCCCCCCCACACACACACCCATACACCCCACACACACACCCCACACACACACACCCCACACACATACACCCCACACACACACACCCCACACACACACACCCCACACACACACACACCCCACACACACACACCCCACACACACACCCCCCCCCCACACACACACACCCCACACACATACACCCCACACACACACACCCCACACACACACACCCCACACACACACACACCCCACACACACACCCACACACACACACACCCACACACACCCCCCCCCCCACACACACACACACCCACACACCCCCCTCCACACCCACACACATACACCCCACACCCCCCCTCCCCACACACACACACCCTTACACACCCACACACCCCCCACCTCACACACCCCCCCCCACACACACACCCCCCCCCCCCCCCGGGGCTGGTTGGAGGCTCTCGGCGCCGTGAGCATGAAGGCGGCTGTGGCGGTGCTGCTGCTCGGCAGCCTGTGGCGGGCAGCGCCGGGGGCTGCGGAGTGCGGGCAGTGCGACGCCGCCTCCTGCCCCCCGCTCCGGTGCCGGGCCCCCGAGCTGCTCGGCGAGGACGAGTGCGGCTGCTGCCCGCGGTGCCTCGGGGTGCAGGGCGACGTGTGCGGGGGCAAGGAGCTCAGGCACGGCCGCTGCGCCCCCGGGTACGTGTGCCTCACGTCGGCGGGGGAGCGGCAGGAGCGGGAGCGGCAGGAGAGGGAGAGGCAGGAGAGGGAAGAGGAGGGCACGGGCACGTGTGTGTGTAAGCACGACTACCCCGTGTGCGGCTCGGACGGCGCCAGCTACCCCACCATCTGTGCCCTGCACCTGGCCAGCTGGAGGGCGGCGCAGGCCGACCGCGGCAAGGTCCACAAGGCACACGACGGGGAGTGCAAGTACGGTGAGTGCTGCTGAGAACGGGGGGCGGGGGGGCGGAGAGAGTGAGAGTGGCAGAGAGAGGGAGGGAGGGAGAGGGAGGGAGAGAGAGTGAGGCAGAGAGAGAGACAGAGTGAGGGAGTGAGGCAGAGAGAGTGAGGGAGGGAGGGAGGGAGGGAGAGAGAGTGAGGCAGAGAGTGAGAGTGAGGGAGTGAGGCAGAGAGAGTGAGGGAGGGAGGGAGGGAGAGAGAGTGAGGCAGAGAGTGAGAGTGAGGGAGTGAGAGAGTGAGGCAGAGAGAGTGAGGGAGGGAGGGAGAGAGAGTGAGGCAGAGAGAGGGAGGGAGGGAGGGAGAGAGAGAGAGTGAGGCAGAGAGAGAGACAGAGTGAGGGAGTGAGAGAGTGAGGCAGAGAGTGAGTGAGGCAGAGAGAGAGAGAGAGTGAGGCAGAAAGAGTGAGAGAGGCAGAGAGAGAGAGTGAGGCACAGAGAGAGTGAGAGTGAGGCAGAAAGAGTGAGAGAGTGAGTGAGACAGAGAGAGAGTGAGTGAGACAGAGAGAGAGTGAGTGAGACAGAGAGAGAGTGAGGCAGAGAGAGAGAGAGTGAGGCAGAGAGAGAGAGAGTGAGGCAGAGAGAGAGAGAGTGAGGCAGAGAGTGAGAGTGAGGCAGAGAGAGTGAGAGTGAGGCAGAGAGACAGAGAGAGTGAGGCAGAGAGAGAGAGAGTGAGGCAGAGAGAGAGAGAGTGAGGCAGAGAGTGAGAGTGAGGCAGAGAGAGTGAGAGTGAGGCAGAGAGACAGAGAGAGTGAGACAAAGAGAGAGAGAAAGAGAGTGATTGACAGAGAGAAAGAGAGCGATAGAAAGACAGAGAGAGTGGGTGATAGACAGAGAAAGAGAGTGATAGAAAGACAGAACGGGAGAGAGAGAATGATGGAAAGACAGAACGAGAGAGAGGGCGATAGAAAGAGAGCGACAGAAAGACAGAAAGAGAGTGACAAAAAGAGAAAGATAGAGAGAGAGAGAGAGAGACGGAGAGCCAGAGTGAGAAGCAGTTCGGAGTCCTCCTGTGTCTAAGTATTAGACTTAGTTCACTTTATTTTTGTATTTGCAATTTCATTTTTAAAAATTATTTTACTGTATTATATTATTGTTACAGATCGTGTAAACCTCAGCCTTGACTTTTCAGTCTTGAGTGTCGAAGCAGGTGTGGGGTGGGGGTGTGTGTGTGTGGGGGGGGTGTGTGTGTGTGTGTGGGGGGTGTGTGTGTGTGTGTGTGTGTGTGTGTGTGGGGGGGTGTGGGGGTGTGTGTGTGTGTGGGGGGGGGGGTGTGTGTGGGGGGGGGGGTGTGGGCAGTTCTGAAAAGAACAGACAGGAAAAACCTGTTTTTTTTTAAGAAAATAAAGGATTGTCCAACATGTACACGATCTGAAATGTTAAAGGGGGGAAACAAAAGTCTCGGATGTTATCCCCAGAGGGGTCTCACTCAGAGCCTGGACACTGGGGAGGAGACAGCAAACTCTCAGCTCCTGCTCCTCACTCTGACAGTCCCAGTGAAGATCCCCTGTCCTCCTCCTCCTCCTCCAACACCCACACACACTCCCCTGTGTTGTACAGGACATGGTTCGACGTGAGCAGAGAGAAGCGCTGATAACTTTGGACCACTTTCCTGCTCTCCTCTGCCTCTGTGTGACGGGCTTGAAGGCAGGAGGCGAGGACCTCGCTATCTGATCCCACCCAAACTCCAGAGCACACGAACCCCCTCCACACACACCCCCACCCCCACACACACACACTCTCCCCCCCACACCCACACACACCCACACCCCCACACACACCCCCACACCCCCCCACACACACACACACACTCTCCCCCCACACCACACACACCCACACCCCACACACACCTCCACACACACACCCCTACACACTCCCCCCCCCACACACACACTCTCCCCCCCACACCCACACACACCCACACCCCCACACACACCTCTACACACACACACACACCCCTACACACTCCCCCTCCCCCCCACACTCTCCCCCCCATACACACCCCCACACACAGACCCCCACACACCCCTCCACACACACACACCCCCCACACTCCCCCCCCCCACACACACACCCCACCACACACACACACACTCTCCCCCCCACACCCACACACACCCACACCCCACACACACCTCTACACACACCACACACACCCCTACACACTCCCCCCCCCCACACTCTCCCCCCCACACCCCCATACACACCCCCACACACAAACCCCCACACACCCCTCCACACACACACACACCCCCCACACACCCACACACCCCACCACACACACTGTACTCACAGAGCAGCACAGCCCTGGTGGGGAGGTCTCTCACACTGTTTGCTGTGGGGTTTGGATGGGGTTTGGATGAGGGTGTTATTTCTCTTTTGTTCCGTGCATCTGCAAAGGATGCGGCTGTCAGGCTGGAAGTGTGAGTTGGGAATTGTAAAGCGCCTCCTGACAACCGATGGCTCTCAAATGAACACATAAGGTTTGCATTTTGTTTAACTGCTCCCCATGGGGGGAAGCCCCTGGCGAGGGCACCTGGGCTGAGGTCCCCCCCCACCAGCAGCTGCTCCCCGGTTTAACGGGACATGAGGCTATTGTGTTCTTCATGCTCGGCTCCAAGCTGTGCTCATCAAACATCCTCACAGCCCCAGCGACCAGGAATCAGTTATTCCCAGTATTACATCGTATTTTTTTTAAAAAAGCGTTTGCATTTAGCAGGTGTCACTGTGAAATGTGCAGTCTGAGAACATGGAGTCCTGTAGCTCAGTGGTTAGAGCACTCGCTTTGCAAGCGAGAGACCTGAGTTCAATTCCCGGCACAGGGCGAAACCTTGGGCAAGTTTCCTTACTCCACACATCTAATAATAATCCCTCCAAAACCAAAAACAATAGTAAATTGGTCATTTTCAATCCATGACTGTTTGTGGGACATTGCTGTGTGCAATTGGCTGCCGCGTTCGCCCACAAATATACAGTCAATTCACTTTACAGTATATTCTGTGAAGCGCTTTGGGATGTCCTCCCAACGTGCAATGCGCTATATCAAATGCAATGATTATTATTATGGAGCAATAGCGCATTTCTCACTAGCACAGCTGTGGGAGAACATCTGGGGCTGGACGGAGCAGACATCACTATTGTACTTTCCTCCTGTGTTTTTTTTTCCAATGTGGGTCGTTTTGTTTGCACTATTGCCTCCCTCCCTGGGTAGATATTCCTGTCCCTTTCTCAAGGAAATGCCTCCTCCGTACTCTTTATTTTATTTTCTTAGCATTTCAGAGTGTTCGACATTTCTGTAAATGGTTTAAATTCGGGCTTCACTTTAAGTCAGAACGAAAAACCGTCTCCAATAACAATGAAACCAGTCTGTCACAAGAAGCATGCAAATTACATAAAAATCTTTTATGCAAGTTATTGCTACAATAGGGAATTGTCAGCTGGTTCATTTGAAAAGGTGTGCTGCAAACTTAAGACTGAATTGAAGAATGTGTCAAATGCTAGTCCCAAGTGAAATTGCTACCTCTAAATCTTTATAGTAGGGCAACAACAATAACTCGCATTTACATAGCGCCCTTCACGCAGGGCAGTGTCTCAGAGGGGTAGCACTAATAATAATAATAATAAACCTTGCATTTGATATTGTGCCTTAACACGTCTTTGAGACTTCTCAAAGCGCTTCGCATGACACACTGTAAAGTGTAGTGATTGTGTATTTTGTGGGCGAAATGCAGCAACAAATTGTGCAAATCTAAGTGCCTTTCTCTGGTGCTGGTGAGAAAGTAGCAAATCCATGGTAGCGATTAATCCTTTCTCTTAAATTGTTTCATTTTTTCTTGTAATGTAAGAATTAGAAAGTGATATTAGTGATCAAAATGAGTCTGTGGTAACAAGCTTGCAAATTACATCAAACCTTTTATACAAGTTATTGCTGCAATAGTAACCGTGCCTTTTCCAATATACTCGGAATTACTGTACCAGCAGTTTATTGGAAAGCCAGTGCTGGAGGTCTGCACAGATACTAACAGTACTGTATTGTTTACTGTTCAGTGATCTGCTGACTGATAATTTTTTCCCTTTAAAAAGTTATTTCTCTTCATGTAAATAATACTAATCCTGCAATTTGATATAGCGCTTTATCACATTGTTGAGACATCTCAAAGAGCTTCACAGGATATACTGTAAAGTGAATTGACTGTATATTTTGTGGAGGAAACGTGGAAGCCAATTGGTAACTAAATGCAACATTGGTCTTTTTTCACAAGATGCCAGTGACCTAAATGGAAATTTGTATCTGTTTCATAGATCATGAAGAAGAAAAATATTTCTATCCTATCTTGTAATACTGTACTTGTGTCCTGTTGATTTTTAAATGTGGGTTGTTTTGTTTGCATTAATTTATCTTTTCTGATGTGTCATTATGACCTATATTTTCTAAGATCGGTATTTTCTGTCAACTTGCTGCAAACTGGATGCTTTAGAAGACTAAATCTACAATTTCAATGCTCTGTTGTTTCAGGAAGTGCTTTCATTCTAAAGCACACTTCAATAAATTCTAATTTGGATATAGCCAGCTTCTAAGATTAAAAAAAATTGTCTCCTTTTGCAATTGGATCTGTCAGTTAGCTTTGTGCATGTGGCTGTGATCACAGGGTACTACTGGCAGATTGAAACTTGTCCCAGTTTTAATGACCAGCTGATTACTATAGCGATAGAATATTTTAACTGCAGTGAAACTAGTAGCATAGTTATTGCCCGATCATTCTCTTATTAATCTTTTTTCCTCATCTGGGTGTCTTACACATGTGGAAACCCATCACCATCTTTAATCCAGTCCACACAAAATGGACACTTTCCTGTGCCTCGAATTGAATGTTCTCTCTCACAGAACTCTCTCTAAGGAAGGATGCAACCTGCTTACCTAATTCTGGAGAGTATTAAGCACAGGGTGGCAAGAGTCAATGGCTTGGGGACCCACAGTG